GAAAACATAAAATACAATAACAATGTATCTTTAATTTAAGGATAATACTCACAAATTAATATACTAATTTTTCTTTTTCAAAGAAACTCTCTAAGAAGAACTCTATTTTTTTTTTCTCAAACTCTTTCTCTATGTGAGGATGTGCTTCTTTACCTTGCTTGATTCATGACTTTTCTTTCTCTATTTATTGGGAAGGATTGCACTTGGTGCAATTAATGCACCCAATGGTGTAGTTGGAAGGTAAAAAATTTCTATCCTTCCTTAGCATGTGTTCACATTGGCTTTCTACAAGCAAAATGCATTTTTCTTTGTTGAATTTATTCATTGAATGAAATATGCATATTATTTCCTTGTTTTCAAACTTGCATGGTTGATAAATTTCGAAGCCACTGCATAATGACTAGACCCACAATTCCCCCCTCTAACCAAAGGGAAGTATCCTGGTTCAGTTTCGAGTTAGTGCAAAGCCTACAGCTTCTTTACAAAATCTTGACTTCTTTCTTATTAGAGCTTTTGTCATTATCAACTATGTATTTGAACAAATTCTTACTTGTATTTACTCTTTTATCATTAATGAAATAAAATAATCATCTTTACGTAAAAGAAAAAAAACTAACGGTGTCATTAACATCAATATGTTGTTATTCTTTAATAATATGATAATTGTGTCATCTCACGTTGTAAATTTTAATGTTTAAAAAATCATTAACATAAAGTAACACAAGCTTTATTTTGATAAATTTAAAGTTTTAAAGCATTAATGATGTTTGAATAATTAAAATAAAGGGATTCAAAATCAAACTTTGTTAACACCAGAAGGAACAAACCCAAAAAAACAAAGTTCATATAATTGTGCGGATTCATTGATAAACTAGCAGTAGTTTTTCTTCTTTGTTATTTATATACACGTTGTAATTTGAATTAAAAGGGCGTGTGGTGAGGGTTATTCTAGAGTAGAGTTTATGTTTATCTTTGGCAACAGTTGTGTAGACTGAGATTGGTTCACATAACCTTGACAAATAAGACCCAATTATTGTTGGAGTCAAAGCATGCATACTTCCAGGAGTTAGGCATGCATATTGCCAAAATTCTGTCTTATATGATGTGCATGGACACAACTTAAAAGCAATCCACTTCCACATCCAAATCCAATCATCTCCCACTTGTCCTAAAATACACTTCAATATAAGCAATCCACTTGACAATATGTAGGCCTAGGTTATTCAAAAAATAATGTTTAAATAATTTAATTACCAAATTAGAATAAATAATTTATGAATTTGATTTTTGATTTTAAAACATCATATTCTCATTATATTTGACATGACTTTTCTCGCTAGAACTATTACTTACATCAACGTTGTCATTCACGGCTATTATTGCTAAAATTTGTAAATACCTTTTATTTAACTTATTAATGCATAATATTATACATTAACATGCAACTAAAAAAAACAAAAAAAAAAAAAATCAAATACAAATCAATGTAATTTTTTTTAATAATTTTTTAATTCAACTAATTAGTTACCCTTATATTTACCTCTATTTTTTATTTGAAACATTTTTTTTCAAATATAATATCCTTAATAGCTTAAATTGTTTAATGACAAAAATTGAGCAGGAGAAATTACCCCAAAATTCCTTACTTCTATATATATTTACTATAATCACTTTATTTACTATAATTATATATTTTAATAAATTAAATACTGATCATGAGTTATATATTATTCTTATTTTGGGCAGAAAAATTTGCCCTAATAACCTTTTTTTAATTTAAAATTCAAATTTAAATTAATACCAAATATACAAGGAAATAGTTGTCATTAAAAACTCATTAATACTTTCTATTTAACTTGTGTAACAAGTATAGTAAGCATTAATATACAAATGAAAAAATAAATAAATAAAAGAGTATTCAAATGCAATTATTGTGAGTTCCTTTATTTATTTATTTATTTTTTAATTCTATTAATCAATTAATACTAAGTTAACTTGATTTTTACAACTGTTTTGTATTTGGAACTTTTCTTTTAAATATAATATTCTTTATATTTAAATAGTCTAATGACCAAAATATTTTTATTTTGAAAAAAAAATTACTCTAAATTACCATATATATATATATATATATATATATATATATACACATAATTCTCTATAATCACTTTATTTACTATAATTATGCATTTTAATGGATTTAAAAAACAAGTAAATGATGAGTTATTTATTCTTAGTTTGGGCAACAAAGTTTGGCATAATAACCCTTCTCCTATACATATAAAAAAAATAAATATTTAAATATAAAATTCAAATTAATGCCAAATACACAAAGAAAATAGTTTTCATTAATAAGACATTAAAAACTCATTAATACCTTTTATTTACTTATTTAGTTCACAATAGTTGGCATTAATACGTAATTAAAAAAATAAAAGATCATTCAAATACATTTAATGTCAATTTCGTTAATTTATTTTACTAATTAGTTAATTCTAATTTACTTTGATTTTTACCATCGTTTTATATTTGAAACCCCTTTTCTAATATATAATATTTTAATTGATTAAATAGTTAATATATGAATTTAGTTATTTACTCATATCTTTAAATTCACAAACCGTTCTCATGTTTCATCTCTTTCCACACCTACCGGCCGCTGCCAACAGATCAAATTATCCTTCGTGTTAGATGGAAAAAAAACAAACTTGGTGTAAAAGAAATGGGATAGCAAATGCTGTAATGAAATAATGAAAACTATGGGAGTATCATATAATAAGTCGATTCAACTTTAGCTGTTAAGTTTTTAAAAATCATAATTATTTATGATATTACTCGTGTTATATTCTTTAATGAATAAAGTTGTGGGTATGATTGATGGAGATTGGGGTATGTCTTGTGATCACATATATTAAGAAATAAATCAAGTAGTAAAGTATTTAGTCAAGCATGATAGGTAAGGGTTACATATTTTTTAGAATTCTCTTTCATGGATTGAGTTATTTTTACTTGCTAATATTTCAACAGTTCCTTTTTTCTTTTTGTTTTTTTAGGTTTTTAGCTTAAACTTTTAGCTCTCCATTGTATCAAAAGAAAAAAATTATATATATAGAGTAGGTTACTAACGACATGTTTGGATGCACACGTGAGATTCACATCTAAATTAGAATTGTATTAATTAATGAAAAAACTACTATTTGTTTCCTATGATAGATATAAAGAGAGAGTGTTGATCACATTTTTTTTATTTAGTTTCAAACACACACCAAACAAGTATGGAGATTAAGTAAGTTTGCAGTTAAATGTGTAAGAATTAGTAGCATTATTTAAAATTATTGACAATATATTAGTATTTTGTTTTAAAACAAAAGTAAATCACTAGTCACTTAAGTATGTTTCTTTTCATGTTTTTATAATTAAAAAAATGCATAAAAAACTAACAATAGAAAAGAAAAAAAATTAATTAATAACGTTTCAATTTTCGATTAAAGATAAAAAAAAAAATCAAATCGGTTGATAATTGAAATAGAGGTTCATGGACTTTCAATTTTCAAACTTGACTAATTAATTTTTTATTTATCTTTTTCTTAAATGGGCAGAGTAGGCTAAACATAATTTTTTTAAAAAAAATCCTCAAAATAAAAGCAATTTTGTATTCATCGAAAAAAAGTTTATTAGATTGATTTTTATACAAGATAACTGGATAAACTTACTTCTAAGGCTGATGATATATACACTTCCATTTTTTTATACATACACCTCCTTTTTAAAAAAAATATTAAATTCCTAAATTATCCTTAATATTATTTGGAATAAAAAAAATTATTTTGGAAAGTTTTTTTCAGAGGTGTATTTGTACATAATTATGGAAAGTTCTTTTTGGAATACTAAAATTACTATTCCAGAAATAACTTTCCGTCGGAATAATTCTGGAAAGTACTTTCCGTAACACTAAAATTACTATTGCGGAAAGTTCTTTCCGGAATTATGGTAACAAATACACACATTGTTAATATTTCGGAAAGAATTTTTCGCAATAGTAATTCTAGTGTTACGGAAAGTATTTTCCATAATTATTTTCCGTTCTGGAATAGTAATTTTAGTATTCCGGAAAGTACTTTCCGTAATTATTCTGACGGAAAGTTCTTTTCGAAAGGCTCATGATATATACACCTCCTGTTTTTTTTATAAGTACACCTTCTTTATTTTTTTAAAAAAATTATAAAATATTATATATATTTTTTTAATTTTATATCTTTAACTTTCAATTTTCTACTTTTTCCTTTTTTTTCACACACTTTTTTTTTCTCTTTCAATTTTTACATGCTACCAAAATAGGTGGGGTGGAGGAAAGATAACGGGGTGCATGTAAAAATTGAAAAAAGAAAAAAAGAAAAAAAAAATCTGTAAAAAAAAAGTACTAAATTAAATGTTGTGAATGTAAAATTAAAAAAAAAAAGAAAAAAATTAAGAATATTTTAAAATTTTAATTATTTTTTTTGAAAAGGAGGTGTACTTATAGAAAAAGGTGGTGTATATATCATCAGCCTTTGAAAAACACTTTCCAGAATAATTTTTTTTTTATTCTAAATAATATTAAGGAAAATTTAGGAATTTAATATTTTTTTTTTAAAAAGAGGGTGTATGTATAAAAAAATGGAGGTGTATATATCATCAACCTACTTCTAAAACGGAAAGTTCAAATCAAGAAACATGGAAATGGTCCTTGGATCCTATGGGTATTGAGCAATGAGCATAATGGGCCTTGGCCCGAAGTTTCCTTTCTCTAAATTAACAGCGAAGGTGGGGCCCACGGATCCAGTGGAGGGGAGAAACCACGGTCACAGAAAGTGACACGTGGCAAGGCAAGGCGGCATTACAAAAGAATAGAGAATGTACTTATCATAATAAAATAAAATAAAGAATTGTGAATGTTTCAAAATGAACTTGGAAGTGGGCTATACAGTTACAATTACAATGAACAATGCTACTATTACCTGTCATTGTGATGGAGAAATTAAGAGAGAATCCCTCTCATTCATACTTTTTTATTCATAACTTAACTATCAAAGACTAGACAAATTCTTGATCTGAATGTTTGCATTCGACCGCATCTGTATGTTGCCCCCCAATTGAAATCTCCGACAATGTTACTATTACATTGTTTCGATCAATTCTATGGGATTCCCTTAGAATAGAATGCTTCTCCAACTTGCTTTTTTGTTTTCCAACAACAAAGAATCAGTAAATACTAAACTAGAAGGAAAAACCATCGGAACATGGTTGCTGTTGCCAGTTGTTGAACTTAATCACTTCATATTTGGCCATGGCAATATTCACCAACACGGTTCAACCAGAATGCTTGCTTCTATTCCCAAGAATGCCCCGAAGAATACTCCAAGTCCAAGGTTTCATTTCATACTCTCAACTTGTTTTTCTACTCGGTATTTTCCCACCTCAGATAATTAGTTGTTTCATTAACATGAATATTGCAAATTCATGCATTATTTACATCATACACAATAACTTGTATTATATGAATCATCCTTGAGAAAAGGTATTCCAATTTCTAAATATTACATTTGACAAGTGTGAAAATCAAGGCATTGGAATAGGACAAATAAAAGGGTTCTTTTAGCTTTCTTGAAACTTTCATGTTCTTAGTTCTTTGAACAATGATGAAGACTTGTGACTGATTGACAGCAGAGGAGCCTCCTTCATCCTCTCTGGATTTAAATATCTCCCCGACACACCACGATGCTGGAATGTTCTTATTCCTCGGAGTGATTGCAGTGATCATCATGTTGCTGATTCTCGTGTTTATATTTTGGAGGCGAGTTAAACGGCCAGCAAAGGAGATGGAGAACACAGCCGTAGCAAGTAAACAGCATGGTGATTTTTTCTTTATCACATGTTTCAAGTTCGAAGCATTCATATCTGCTTAATGAATGACTAATCTTTTCTAAGAAATCTAGTTGACCACTTTTACCAAGATATCATTTTTTAACCATATTTTTTTTTCATCAACAATTCGCGAACTTGAAATCTTACTTCAAGAATTCAAGTTCAGTTCTAAAAAAGGGATGCGAATCCAGTTTTAGTTGGACCAACCACTCGTCGATAATTTGAAAAAAGCATGATAAATAAAACAATAACATAAAAGCAAAATATTTAGTACCTCAATATCTATATGCTTGCGGTATAATTGGTTAATTTTGCTGATAGTTGTGCTTACAAAGATCATACTTCTGTTATTTTTGCTTGGCACTTACCATATGGGAAATATTTGAATCGGCAGAGGTGATGAAGATGATAGTCCCAAACATACAACAGTCAGGTATCTTAAAGAAAGCATAAAAATTATTTGACACTTGAAATATATTTAGTATACACTGTACCATTGTAAGAACTATTGAAGTTCCTTTATGTATATAGGACCAATGGGGTTCTTTAGCGGAAACCTTAGGACAATTAGCTACTTTGACTTCCGGACATTAAGGAGAGCCACTACAAATTTCCATCCTCGAAATCTTCTTGGAAGTGGTGGATTTGGACCTGTCTATCAGGTATAGGTACTAAATCTAATGTCACTTGCTTTCATAGACAATTTGATTTGTTGATTTTGAGAACCTGATCTCTTAATCATGATGCATCCATGTTAATTATGAGTCCTGTCAATGATTGTTCTGAAGGCTTGATTAAGGAATAATAAATAGAAATTTCTTAATAGAGTTCTGAGGGAATTGGACCGGAAAACATGGTGAGTCAGTAACACTTTTCCCTAAAAGCTTTTCAGTTTTGAAAATTTGAAGTTTTGATTCATTAAGCATGGCACTAAATGCACTTGTTAATGTTCTCCAAATTATATTACATGATTTCAAATATTAAGAAGGCAATGGACAATTTGTTGAAATTCATATTAATGGGGTGTTGAAGTTTGGTAGTTGAGTCTCACATAAATGGGTGTACTCCTATTGTGGTTACTATCCTGAATTTCTGTAGTTTTGACAGGGAAAGTTGGCAGATGGAAGGCTTATTGCAGTCAAGACATTGTCTCTTGACAAGTCTCAACAACAAGGAGAAAAAGAATTTCTGGCAGAAGTGAGAATGATCACCAGCATCCAACACAAAAATCTGGTTCGCCTTCTCGGATGTTGCACAGATGGCTCTCAAAGGATACTTGTGTACGAATACATGAAGAATAGAAGTTTGGACCTCATAATACATGGTATACCTACTTTATTTTATACCAAATATCAGCATAGTGTTTACTATATGTAAAAAAAAGTCCATCCTAGTTATTGATAAAAGTACTTTCCTTGAAATCTGTAGATCTCGGACATGTTTGAATAAATTTTTCTGTAAATAGTAAATATTACAAAAAAAAAATAAGAGAAGAAGTTAATAAGAGAGATTTTTGACAAATTAATTTATATGTAAGGTAATTTTAGTTTGTTTAGTTCAATGGGTCATGACTCATGAGTAATAATTGAAAGAAATGAATTATTTTAAGCTTTAAAAAATAATTTCCATTTTGGATATTTCTGTGGTCAGGGAAGAGTGATCAATTTTTGAATTGGAGAACTAGATTCCAAATCATTCTTGGAGTAGCACGGGGATTGCAATACCTCCACGAGGACTCGCATTTAAGAATTGTTCACAGAGACATCAAAGCAAGCAACATTCTTCTTGACGAGAAGTTTCAGCCGAGGATTGGAGACTTTGGGCTAGCTAGGTTCTTCCCTGAAGACCAAGCTTACCTTAGCACTCAGTTCGCAGGAACATTGTAAGTAAATAACTCTCCTCAAAAGCACCCATCACTAGTTAAATAAATATCCCCTACTGTAGCTATATGGCCAATCATGTTCATCACTCTTTTGCAATGTACTCATCATTTATGATTAATTATAGTGCTACCAACGACCAAGACCATTAAAACTTTCATTTCTGTTGAGATTTTATGGTTGGAGACACCTCATTTAATATGATCAAATTTAGCAGCACATTGAAGCTATCCTTGTTGACTCTTGAATAAACATCTAAACTTAAGGTTTTTATCATCGAAGTTGTCTTATAACTTTATTGAAGTGCTAATGTCACTCTTGTAATTAAAATTTTTAATTAGTATCCACCAATTAGTACATAGGTAGAATTATTAAAATCTAAATGGAATCATCAATTTATTTATAAAATAGACTAGTTAACCAAATTGCCTTATATAGAATGAATTAGTATTTAGTTCAATATAAAAAAAATCAAAAATTTTAAATTAGATTGATTCAATATAGATCAGTTATCTATTATACTCACATGGTTAAATTTTTTAACCAAATAGAACCGATTATTAAACTATTTTTATGAAGTAAATTGATTCAATTTTTCTCAAAATAATTTGTTTTTGCATTAGTTTAAACTTTTTTTTTCACATCCCACCACAAATTCAATGCAAACATTATTTTTATCAAGTTTTCAATAAATGATCTTTTTCTTATATGTTTTGGTCAGAGGCTATACAGCTCCTGAGTATGCTATTAGAGGAGAATTATCCGAAAAGGCAGACATCTATAGTTTTGGAGTTCTTGTGCTTGAAATCATCAGCTGCAGGAAAAACACAGACCTTACTTTACCATCAGAAATGCAGTATCTCCCTGAATATGTAACTTCTCACTTAATTCTACAAACTTCATAATAACTATTATTTACACTATTTTTTTTCCCCTCAAATGCATTGAAACGCTTGTATAAATCAATGTTCATTACAGGCATGGAAACTTTATGAGAAGTCAATGTTGATGGAAATAGTAGATCCAAAGCTGCGAGAACATGGAATAGTGGAAAAGGATGTCATGCAAGCATTCCACGTGGCCCTGTTATGCCTTCAGCCACACGCGGACTTAAGACCTGCCATGTCAGATATCGTGGCAATGTTGACATTCAAAGTTGAGATGATTTCAACACCAATGAGGCCAGCATTCCTTGATCGAAGGCGCGTGATGGATGATGAACACCACTCATGGGAAGCCGTATCAGAGGCTTTCACTACTGCAGTGGCAAGTGATTCTGCATCCCCACCTAAAGCTCCAATACTCTAGAGCACAGCTGATCCCGTCAAATAAGGAACCATTTCCTTAAAAGAATGAACAACATAAAAGTTCAAAGGTTATGCATTTCATTTGCTTTAGATGTGTGTATATATTCGGAAATGAATCATGTCATGTTCATCCCAAATTTTGTGTCTTTCTCTTCCTTGGCAGAAATTGAACAGTAGTTACAAAAATTATTATATATATATATAT